ATTTGGTATGGAGCAATCACTTTGGAAGAGGATCTCTTGTGCGCAGAATTGTACAGGCGGTGGGGGAACCTGTGATTCAGTTGAGGCATAACCCGCGATTTACCCCTTCCAAGGTTCTAGGGGCGAGGTTTTTGGAGGTCCAGAATTTAGTTTAGTGTAAGTTGGGATACCGGATATAAAAAAAAAAAAAAAAAGAAGAATTGAGAATGTAAATCTGTATTGTGTAAGAATAGAAGTTGGGGAGTTAAATGTTAAAAATAAAAATTAGCACACCAAAGTACAAATGAGAAAAAATTGAAAACCACATATGCAATTTCGATGAAACTTTTCTACGTGTAAAGCTAAAGTGCCTGCAAACTTCCTATTATTTTCAGGTAAGGAGGGGCCCACAGATGCTTAAATCCTACGGATAGGATCACCAAATATTTAGATCTGAGGTCGGGCGGCAAATATGTAACCATTGTTAACAAATTATTAATGGACCAAACCCAATTAATAGGAATATTTCACCTTTGGTAATCCAACTTACAGGGTTATTTCGTGTTGGTTACCTAAGTTCATTTTTGTTTTAATTTAACAACTCAACTTATATTATTATCTCAATTTGATCGTCCAACTTATTTTTTTTATTCAATTCATTTATATTTCTTTCAAAAGATGATGGAATTTGTGACATGGACAACAAAATTCATGATCGAACTAGTGGAAATTGTGACCTAAATGGATCCAATTTTTGCACACATTTCGTTTGCCAACGAAGATGAAGACTAAAAAATAGCAAGATATTTGTATTTTTTTAATTATCCAATAGAATAGAAAATTACGTTACCAAATATCCGGCCAGGTTACAGATTTTTCTGGTAAACGCAATTGTCTAATAAAAATAATTATAAATTAAACGATCAAATTAAAACAAATAAAAGTTAAATGACCTGCGTGAAAGTAATTCGTAAATTAACTGTTCTTTCCCCTAATTAATAACTTTATACCTAACCCAGCCTTTCCCTCTCAGCCGTCCGTTCAATTACAAAATACTAACCATGGTTAACACCCTTTATTGTATCTCTCCCGTTATAAAATCCAAGCCTCAACTCCGTTTCTCTCCATTCAAAGGGCGTCTTGATAAACGCCGCTGTAATTTTCCTCTATTTTCTCTCCAAATTTTCCTTTTCCGTAGCATTCTTCGTTTCCATTTCCATCGAAAATGAGAGAGTGCATATCTGTTCACATTGGCCAGGCTGGTATCCAGGTTGGAAATGCTTGCTGGGAACTTTATTGCCTCGAGCATGGCATTCAGGTGATTTTTCGCCCTGTTCTCGTTGGACCTGTCGTCATTAACCGTTCATTTGTACGTCTATAACATGTGTATGTGTTATTCGGAAATTTTGTATATTGTTGATATGAGAGGTTTCAATGCTGTGTTTCACGTGTTTATCATTTTTATGTGTTGTTTTGAATTTTTTTTTCATTGATACGTGAGATTTCGATATGTAATTGTGCTGTGTTTATTTTTCTAATTTCTTTATTAAATCTGCATGTTTCAATAGATCATCGCTACATTCATCATAGATACGTATGTGCAATGTTTATTAGGTATATTTTTATGCATACGAGTGTTCTATAGTTTAAAACTTTTGATTAAACGCTCTGTAAATTCGGAATGTACGAATTTAAGATTTGATTTGATGCCCTCTATCCTGTAAATTGCTATCCGATGGAGGCCTAGCGTAGATATGTCCAGTAAAATATGTTATTCCTTAAATTTATTACAAAAATTTCCCAGTGGTATTGATTTATGCTATATTTTGCCGGAGGGAAAATATTTTATTTACAATAATCCCTCATTTTCAAATAGTAACAGACAGATTCTTGTTTTAATATGCTTTGGATAAATGATTTGGGATTCCCTATTAATTTTAATTAGTTTTGTCATAGAATTTGCATGAAAGGAAACACATTTCATTGCAACTGTGAAACAGTAGCGCTTTGAATAAGTGCAAATTTAGGTTCTTGTTATATAAAATGTCAATACAAATCTGTTTTTCTCTTATCCTGATTACTTGATCAGCATTTATCTTTTTCTGTTAGATTTTTGGATTTGAAGCATATTTCTTGAATCAAATACAGTATTTTGTTTCAATTCAATAAAATTCTATGCATTTGATTCCTACATTTTCTTTCTCTTGTATAGCCTGATGGCCAGATGCCAAGTGACAAGACCGTTGGAGGAGGTGATGATGCCTTTAACACTTTCTTTAGTGAAACTGGTGCTGGAAAGCACGTCCCACGAGCTGTCTTCGTGGATCTTGAACCTACGGTCATTGATGAAGTGAGGACTGGAACATACCGTCAGCTCTTCCACCCTGAACAGCTCATCAGTGGCAAGGAAGATGCTGCCAACAACTTTGCCCGTGGCCACTACACAAGTAATCAACTTTTTTGGGTTGCTTCTAGTTAACTTATTGTAATTGAGTAGCTTGTACTTTACCAATTAATTCTAACAAAAGAGATTTTTGTTTTTTTTTTGGGCAGTCGGTAAAGAGATTGTTGACCTTTGTTTGGACCGTGTCAGAAAGCTTGCTGACAATTGCACTGGTCTGCAAGGGTTCCTTGTGTTCAATGCCGTTGGTGGAGGCACTGGTTCTGGTTTGGGTTCCTTGCTCCTAGAGCGACTGTCTGTTGACTATGGCAAGAAGTCAAAGCTTGGCTTCACTGTCTACCCTTCTCCTCAAGTTTCTACATCTGTTGTTGAGCCCTACAATAGTGTCCTCTCCACCCACTCCCTGCTTGAACATACTGATGTTGCTATTCTTCTCGACAACGAGGCCATTTATGACATCTGCAGGCGCTCTCTTGACATTGAGAGACCCACCTACACTAATCTTAACCGCCTTGTCTCTCAGGTGCTGTTGCACTCTTATACTGCAATGGGTGTTTATAAAATCAGCCTTCAATTTGATTTTCTTTCTATTGAACATTCTTATTGGTTGCAGGTTATCTCTTCCTTGACTGCATCACTGAGGTTTGACGGTGCTCTTAATGTGGATGTTACTGAATTCCAAACCAACTTGGTCCCTTACCCGAGAATCCATTTCATGCTTTCTTCATACGCCCCTGTTATCTCGGCCGAGAAAGCATACCATGAGCAGCTCTCTGTTGCTGAAATCACAAATAGTGCTTTCGAGCCCTCATCCATGATGGCCAAGTGTGATCCGCGCCATGGAAAATACATGGCGTGTTGTTTGATGTACCGTGGTGATGTTGTGCCTAAGGATGTTAATGCGGCTGTTGCCACCATCAAGACTAAGCGTACCATCCAATTTGTCGACTGGTGCCCCACTGGTTTCAAGTGCGGTATTAACTACCAGCCCCCTACTGTTGTGCCTGGAGGTGATCTTGCCAGGGTACAGAGAGCCGTTTGCATGATTTCCAACTCAACAAGTGTAGCTGAGGTGTTTTCTCGCATTGACCATAAATTTGACCTTATGTATGCCAAGCGAGCTTTCGTTCATTGGTATGTCGGTGAGGGAATGGAGGAAGGTGAATTCTCTGAAGCACGAGAGGACCTTGCTGCACTTGAGAAGGACTATGAGGAGGTAGGAGCCGAGGGAAATGATGAGGATGGTGATGAAGGGGACGAGTACTGAGGTATTTACCTTTGTTATATTGAGATTCAACATGTTGTGTTGGATGTGTCATGTGTGAATGGTTAACTGTACTTTGTTGTTTTTGTTTTAATTCCCTTCTCCTTGTACTTTCTGTTGAACTACGTTTTATTGCCGTTGGTCTTGAATCCAGATAATATCACTTATGGTAACTAATTTGGATATAGATTTATTTGTCCCATAGATGCACTTTCCATATCTTTATCACAAATCAATGTCTAGATTATGAAGTTCATTCACAGGATAATTTTTACAATTAATCTAGTGGTACATAATGGGGTGTACCTAAAGGTGTACACCCTCCTCACATGGGGTGCGGGATCCACCTGAATAAGTGTTTTTTATTTGAGTGGATCCCACACACCCCGTACACGCTTAGGTACACCTCTATGCACCACCGTAATTTTTAACAGCTAGATTGCTATATATCTAGCCAATTTGGGAAACATGATTAAAAAAGTTGAAACAAAGTTAAAAATTTCCATTTTTCAACATAGAAAATAAAAAAGTTCATAAATAAATGAATATTTTTAATAGTTACTGTATTTAAGTTCTTAACAAAACATGCTAAAATAACTCCAATCAAACTCAAGTTAATATGCGTAATACTAACAACAAAGTAAGCTCAAAAGTGTGAAAATTGATTGAACTAAGGAGACCTAATGAAACCAACACACATGCTTATCAATCAGTACTTTCACTTCAAAACCTGTGCTCCTTAGCAATCATAACATTCATGTAATATTCCTCGTTAATAAGTTCAAAAATATTGAATATTTAGCCTAATAATCTAGAGTTGTAAAATGAGTAAAAACATAGAATGAACGAACATATTCAAATATGGATTGTAGATTTCTATAACATTCCATTATAATTAAATTGATGGCAAACTAATAACTCCAGTTAACATAAGTATGAACAAAAATGACGAAATCAACATGGTTCTACAGGGAAAACAACTCAACTAATCAAAAGAAACCATGAAGTTTAACGTTGTTAAACTGTAATTTGTACAAAGTTAAGAATATACTTCCACGATTGGATTCCACCATGTAATCCCCGAGGTGGGGCGGCTCTTATTAATGAACAAGACGTCTCTATTTCCATGTTCAAAATCTTGAACAGCTCTTCTGTTATTAACAATGAAGAAGAAGGCTCTGCTTTTGTTTTCAAATTCTTCAACTTCTCCTCCAACGCCACCTTGAACATCTCAAGCTCATCCAGTTCAAGGTTTTCAACATCCATGTCCCACAAAAACCAACCACATCATTCACCCCCTCCTGTTGGCGCCTCTTCTTCTCCTCCAGCTCTATAGAAACCTTCGAATAATCCCTCTTAATCTGGCGTTTTGTTGTAGTTTTTCGCAGACCCATCATATGTAATTTCATTCTTGATCCGAGCAATTATGGAATTCACGCTGGAGTGCCCAAAAGTAAAGACGCGTTTGCCGGTCAAGGATTGTACGACAATGGCGACTTCAGTGCCGGTCAGAACACAGATTTTGACAATGGCGACTTCAGTGCCGGTCAGAACACAGATTTTGCTCTCTTTCTTGAAAAGACTGACTCGACGTTTGGAAAAAGTCACTTGCCTGTTGCTCAATTTTTTTATTTTCTTCATTTCAATCTTCCTTCTACTCTGCGTTTTCTTCTCCATGATCACCATCTTTTTACAAGTAGAGAGAGAGAGAGAGAGAGAGAGAGAGAGAGAGAGAGAGAGAGAGAGAGAGAGAGAGAGAGAGAGAGAGAGAGAGAGAGAGAGAGAGAGAGAGAGAGAGAGAGAGAGAGAGAGAGAGAGAGAGAGAGAGAGAGAGAGAGAGAGAGAGAGAGAGAGAGAGAGAGAGAGAATTCAAGTTTTTTTCTAGTGTGTATTGTTTGAAAATAAGAGAGTAAAGATTTGCAAAAGATGTTGTGCAATAGATGGAGAGTAAAGATTTGCAAAAGATGTTGTGCAATAGATGTACATATTTATAGGGTTCATTTTCAGGGCTTGGATCTAAAAGTATTAAGGTAAGAAATCAAATTAACCAGCTGTATAGCTATTAATTGCAGCATATTTATGGTAATAAACATTATTCAAACGACTTGCAATGGCTTGTCTTGGTTTTATTTCCTTCCATTGTTTGGTAAAGTGCCATTTTCTTCCAGTTTTCTAATGGCTGAAGCCTCCTCTCTCTCTCAAGCATACAAATTCTTGAATTTATGGCTTTTCCCTTTGCTATCTTTATTTGTATATTTAAATATTTTCATTTTTTTTGTAAGATTAGTTTGAATTTTAGGATATGATGCACCGATACGGACACGTGTGTCCGACACGATATGTGTCGGATATGTCGACTCGTGATTATAAAAAAAAAGTACCAACACTACACATCGTCGACATGTTTATAAAATTCTTCATTTATATAGTTTAAATTTAGTTTTATACTTATTATTAGTTTTTTTCGTTAAAATCTTTTAAATATGAGTGTCCTTATTTGTTATTTACTAATAACTTTGATTTAAAATATATAAATAGTTATAATAAGAAAAGAAATGATTATTGCAGAGTGTTCAAAAAGTGTCGGCATCGACACGCTACCCTAGTTAGAATGTACGTGCTACATAGATTTTAGGTATTTTGATTAAAATGGAGACAAATATTTCACCATAGGGATGATGGGGTTCCAATGACTATTGGCCTACGAAACGACAGTGAAGCTTTGTTATGTATTTCATTTTATTGACAAAAAATTAATGGTTTGAACTTGCAAAAACTCGTATCCGGTTCCTAATTGAACTTAACGATTTCTTTTCATCGGATATTTACCCTATTATGGGATTGAATTTTTGTCCGATTTTCAATTTCCCCCTCGATCGATCCAGTTCGATTTTCATTATAGTGGATAAAATCCCTTAGCCCCTCTTTTATGTAGTTTAAAAAATGATAAAATTTTAAATAAAAGTTAATAATTTATTTTAATAACATATTTTATGAAATTTACAACTTTATTAATTTTTAATCACATATTTGATCATCTTTTATCAAAATTTACTAAAAATTTACATAATTTTATTTGAAAGTGTAAAAATTCAAATGCATCCCATCACTAATCGTAAATTGCCATTCCCAGTTGAGTTGAAAACATAAATATGAAGAGACATTTAAGAGAGTATCTTTGGCAATATTTCTTTAAGAAAAAAAATCATTTGAATAATGTTTTATTACCATAAATATGTTGCAAATAATAGCTATACAGCTGGTAATTTTGAATTTCTTACCATAATACTTTAGTTCCAAACCCCTGAAATTAACCCTATAAATATGTACGTTTATGGCACCATATTTTCGCAAATCTTTACTCCTTTATTTTCACACTGTACGCACTAGAAAAACTCGAATTTTCTCTTTACCTGCGAAAAGATGGTGATTATAGAGAAGAAAATGCTGGGTAGAATGAAGATTGAAATGAAGAAAATAGAAAAATTGAAATGAAGAAAGCGAGCGAAATTTATGTTTTGATCAGCGCTGAAGTCGTCATTATCATACAATCCTTGACCGAAAAATGCTTACTTACTTTTGGGCAGTCCAGCATGGATTTCATAATTGCTCGGTTCGAGAATGGAATTACATCCAATGGGTCTGTGAAAACTATGCCAAAACTCCAGATTTCAAGATATAGTATTTTGGGGTTTCTGCAGAGTTGGAGGCGGAGATGTTCAAAGTGGCCTTGGAGGAATTGAATTTGAAAACGGAAGCAGAACCTTCTTCTTCGTTAATAACAGAGGAGTTCAAGATTTTGAACACGAAAGCGGAGACTTCTTCTTGTTCTTTAATAAGAGCCGCAACAACCCCCAGGAATCAGGGGTTGGAATCCAACCATGAAAGCATATTGTTAAGTTTGTACAAATTACAGTTTAACAATGTTAAACTTCATTGTTTGTTTTGATTAGTTGAGATGTTTTCCTAGTAGATTCATGTTAATTTTGTTCTTATTCTAGACTCTAATAGTATGTTAATAGGAATTGTTATTAGTTTCCATTGATTTGATTATAATGAGAAATTTGCTATCCAATGGTTACAGAAATTTACAACTTCCAATTTTCAGTGACTTGTCAATATTAATTCCACAAAATCAATAGAATTGATATGCATGCACAACTCATCTCTAGTCCATAGGATCTAGGTTTATCTCAAGAAAATGTATAAACATCGGATATTTGCAACCATCACACGACAAAAAAAATGAGGCGCTGAGGAAAAAATATTGCTAAGAGCTTAACCACCTAAGCGGCATGCTTCTGGGAGTTTGAATTTCCTCCCGATCTCGAATCTTGTTTTCTAGAATTGTCAAAAATTGGAGTTATTCAAATTTCGATGAGCGGTTCATTGGGTGTACACAATATTGAGGAACTAGGCTGCAGACACAAAAGTCATTTTTTTTTTTTTTTTTTTTTTTTTTTTTTTTATAGAGGTTACAGTAGCCAGAATAATTTTGGGTATTTTCTTGCAAATCGCAATACTAAGCTCTTATCACCGTGTATTTGGATCACCACAAAGACCTGTTACAAGTATGTATGGGTAGGTTTACATGATTTATCGATAAAGACAGACATGATTAGGGCACTAAGAGCACTGATAAAATTTGGCAAAGTAAACAAGACAATAAGTGCATATTTGTTAGGAAGAATTGTATATCATTGGGCACTATGATTTGTTGGAGTTATTCAAATTTCGATGAGCGGTTCATTGGGTGTACACAATATTGAGGAACTAGGCTGCAGAAAAAAAAGTCTTTTTTTTTTTTTTTTTTTTTTATGTTTTTTCATAGACGCAATATGATATAGAGAAGGAAAAATATTGAAATAAGAGCACATGTTATTTGGTTTAATTAAGGTTTCCTAGGCTTATTGACTCCCTAAAGCAGCCCTATGATCTCTTTAAGTAACTTACAGTTGATCAACCATCTTAAAATGAAATAAATACTACTTCACGGACATAGATATATGTACTGACATTTCAACTCTAACATAAAGGCAATTCAAGTAATGGTTGGTGCCTGGAACCCATGAGCCAGGAATTGCAAATGCATCTGTGAGAAATGTTTAAAGGCTGTGTTTGGAGGGATCATCTGTCCATTTGCATGCTGCTGTCTAATAAAGCTACCACTTGATTAGTGAATGAGTGGAAGTGAAACAAAGCCATATGAAATTGATGGCTTGTAGGAAATTATACAGGAAAGTACATCTAACCTAATATCCTTCATCAAGTCGAGCCTCACATGCCAATGCCGCAAACTGCCAAACTCGACTCTGCTTTCATAAATGGCTAGGCTACTTCATCTACTGGTTGCAATGTGTCAAATTTGAAGTTTGCATGCCCAAATGTTTCAACATGAGAATTGAAAGTTCCTGAATTTCTTTTGATAATTCCTTTTTCGTCCTTGATGGGATATGGTTGGCATTCATCCTGCCAGTTCAAAGAAAAGTTAGCTTATTCTTCATTCAGCTGGTCTTACTAGTTCAACTTATTCTTTAGACATTGCTAAACCATGGAAATTTAGTCTGAATTGAATACGAATATTTTCTATAATCAATTCACTAGAATAATACGGATTCGTCCCCATGCTCGAATGCTTCTTTCACTTTAGTTTTAATCGTAGAGAGATGGAATTTCCACAATGAATGAAAAATATTTGTAACGTTATACAACTCATTTGAACAATTAAAGTGACTATTCTTTAGTAAGATCTTTCACAAAATCAATCTGGATCAACTTGTTACCTTACTACAGTAATACCCTGAACTAGTTGATGGAATTGGACAAACTCAATTATCAGTAAATAATTTTCCAACTATATCTATGACTCTACCTATTTATTATGGACAAACTCAATTATCAGTATATTTGTTCGAGTAATTTTTTCTACGAACTGCCCTAACTTGAGAAGAATAAATCTTGAAGTTCAAATTTATAACACATTAATTAGTAAATTTGTTCAAAAAGCATTTTCCAATTATATCTAAGACTCTACCTATTTATAACGGACAAACTCAATTATTAGTAAATTTGTTCAAGTAATTTTTTTCCTCACCAATTGCCCTAACTTGTGAAGAATAAATCTTGAAGTTCTAATATATAACACATTAATTTTTCGTTATGGGAAGAGTGTGGATTTAATTGAAATAATTTTGCTTCAGATGAAGGGGATGAGTACTGAGGTGTTTATCTTCGTTCTATCGAGATTCAATATGTTTGGTTGGATGTTTCACGTGTGAATGGTTAACGGTACTTTGTTGTTGATTTACTTCCCTTGTCCCGTTGTATTTTCTTTAGAACTATGCTTTATTGGCAGTGGTCTTGAATCCAGATAATATTACTTATGGTAATTAATTTGAATATAGATTTATTCGTCTCATAAATGCACTTTCAATTTCCCGATCACAAAATCAATGTATAGGTTATAAAGTTCATTCACAGGATAATTTTTAACAACTATTTAATTGCTATGTATCTAACCAATTCGGCAAACATGATTAAAAAAAGTCAAAATGAAGTTGAAATTTTCCATTTTCCAACATCGAAAACAAAAGATTTCCTAAATAAATGAAAAGTAATGCTACGTAGCCCACTAATATATTTGGATCCTTTACAATTATAAGTTTTTCAAAGATAATTTATGACAA